CTCCCGAGCGCTGGGGATGCAGGGGGCGCGGCCACGGCCGGGCGGGTCCGGGGGCGGAGCTGGCATCCTCGCCCGGCACCTCCCACGCGACCCAAGCACCGCCTCCAACCCGCCCTCCCACTTCCTGCCCCGGGGCCGCCAGCGAAAGTTGGGGAGGGCGGGGCTGTAGCGCAGGCTCTGGGCTGGCGACTTTCCGTTAGGTGCACGTGGACCCAGGCCGGCAGTCTCTCCTGCAGAGTGATGAGGCGTCTGCACCTCGTTAGAGACTAAAAGGTGACCCCTGTAGCGCGCCGCCCTTGCATGGACCTCTGCAAAGACAGACCCGGGAACACGCATCCAGCTGGGTTACACAATCACACCCCTATGGCCCCATCAATCTGGTTAATGGGCTCAGGTCTTCAGAGTACCCTTCCAGTCTAATGTCCTTGTCAAGATCCCTCGGACATCCCGTCTCCCGAAGAGGAAAAGAGGAAAAAAAAATCCTTTACTTACGGGACATCGTGGCGGGGGGGGGGACTTCAAAGCATCAATAACTGATTTTGCAATTGGAATTACTTTGCTGCTTACTCATCTATCAGGACCCGTGAGTTCTTGGTAAAGGGAACACCACAAAGCCCAGCTTTCTCGGAGATTGGTGTCCTGGAAGGGAGCTGGGAGAAAGGGGAGTGACCAGTCCACCAGAGCCTCCTGATTTGATCTTTTGTGGGCTGGTCCTCGTTATGTCAGTCGCTGCGTCTCCCTCAGTTTACCTAGCCCAGGGCAGGATGGCAGATCCCACCTCGCTACGTACACAAAACCTGTCACCTGCATCCAGGAGAGTCCTTCCCGGAATGACCTCTGCAGGAAGTCAGTTCATCCCTTCCCCACCTAGAGAGGAAGCATGAAACCTCATACCAGGGGTCAAGAGACGCGAGAGTCGCCAGACAGAGTCAGGTTGAATAACTGGCTAGCTCCTGCCTAGGTACCACTTCACCTCTGAATAGCCTCAGGGAAAGAACCTGCTGCAGGGAGGCAGGGAGGGAATTAAATCATTCAAAGCACAGGGCCACAAGCAGACCCCTCCATTCAGTACCCTGCAGCACAGGCGTGGGTGGGGAATGAAAGCAGAGCACCTTACTAATCCTGCTCCCTTCATGCCCGGGTGTTTGTACCCAGGGAGCTCCTTTACAGGAAAGAAATCTCTACCCTTCCTGCCCCCAACCTTCCCGCCTCATCAGGAAACTCACCATGACCAGACTAGGGCTGGGACAGAGACTACTCTGACAGTCAGTCAGACGTTCATCTGCTGCCCCCTGGTGGTCTTAAGGTCAGTAGCAGCTGACAGTCTATATGCTCCCGGAAAGCGGGCTGCCTTTGAGAGGCTGTGGTGTAGTTTTAGCCTGTCAGTCTTGCAAGTCAAAAGACCTAGGCCTCCTGGCACAAGTGGTCCTGCACCAATCGTGTGCCTCTATGGTACCCTATTCCTTGTCTGGATATTGGGGATGTTCACTTGGCCTGTGTATTTGATGGAGACCTTTGGAAGCTCTCCAGGGAAATAATAGGAGGGATCAATGAAGGAAAGCTGGGTGAAAAGTGTTCCAGATGTCCATTGTGCTGTGTAGGTCAGACTGCATGGGCTCAAAACAACTTGCAGCGTGCTGATAAAGGGGATACTTTTCCTCAGTGTTCTACCTCACCCACTCTCCCAGCCCCAGGAGTGCTTGCCAGGACTCTCTGAACATGTCCTGGAAACAAGAGAACTTCCCAACTTTGGAGATGAGCTCTACTGAAAGCCACTTCTGCTGAGTTCCAGTGGCCAGTTCTGAGGTGAACTGAGCAGATGAAACCCTGAGGGGCTGCCAATCCTAGCCATATACCCAGGATGTAGAAGGAGGGCCATGGACTGACCATGCAAGAAGTTGCAGAGAGGCACCTAGAAGGGTGCAGCAAGGCTTCTGGAAGTTGACCGTCCCTGAAAAGCATGATTTTGGAGGCTGGGGGCTGACAGGAAGGCACAGGTGCAGGGAGCTAAGGCCCAGAGTCCCTTCTAAATCACAAGGGAACAGAGCATCTCTTGTATTCCCAGGCATCGGCTGGTCAACGGCAGCAGCATCTCTGATGGACTCTGGTGTGAATTTCTGCACATCCTATCTGCCTGCAAGTTCAAGAACCCACATTCAGATTCTGAGCACGCCTAGCTCTGCCGCCACCAGAGTTCAGGTTCCTCCCTTGAGTTCTTCAACAGCCTGCTTCTGCCTTGCCTTTCGGTCTGCTCTTCATAGCCAGCAAAGATCTAGCTAAACCTAGAAGCAACCCTGTCATTCTGCCACCTCAAAGCCATTTGTAGAACTCAGTTCCTACTCAGACCTGCGGCTCTTTGAAAGAACACCGTTTGGCATGAATGAGGCCCCAGGCTCCAACACCAGCCCTTAAAGAAGTGGTTCTCAACCTGTGGGTCATGACCCCTTTGGGAAGTGTCAAATGGCCCTTTTACGAGGGTCTCCTAAAAACATGAGAAAACGCATTGCAATTCATAACAGCCAAATTAGTTATGAAATAGCAACAAAAATAATTTTATGGCTGGAGTCAGCACAGCATGAGGAACTGTATTAGAGAGTCACAGCATTAGGAAGGTTGGAAACCACTGCCTTAAAGGAAATGAAAAAAAGGATAAAATGACGGATTCTCCCCAAGCAAACCCCCTTTGGCACAGCTTCCTTCCCTGGCTGCGGAGTCAATGTCCCTCCTAGTTCTTGGCACTTGCAGTTTCTCTGCCTAGAATTCTTCCATCAGAGAGGGGCATGACCAAGGTTCTGACTAACAGAGCAGGGATTTGAACCAGGATTCCAACATGGAGTCTGTTTTTGTCAGTGCTCCCAACAGAGCTGTTTGCATTTACTTTCTAGGCTGACCTTAAGGCATATAGTTGTCAACACAAGAGAAATCATGAAACTCGATCTGTCTCTACCCTCCCAGGCTTCTGCAGAGGATGCCCCCCCCCAATACAGTCTGAGACATCGCTCACTGGGCAGTCGCAGAGCTGGTGTTCATCCAGACCACAAGTGCCTCTAAGCACCCAGTGCTTTGAATGGCAGCTGCCTCGGTAGAAGCTTCTACAGACACTGGAACATCCAAAAAAACTGAGGACCAAGCCGGGACAGTGGTGGCGCACACCTTTAATCCCAGCACTCGGGAGGCAGAGGCAGGTGGATCTCTGTGAGCTTGAGGCCAGACTGGTCTACAGAGCAAGTTGCAGAACTGGCTTCATAGCTACTGAGAAGCCCTGTCTTGAAAAGGAAAAAGGAAAAAAGAAAAACTGAGGATCTCCACAGCCAGACCGGCCATTTTGATTATCAGTCCCTGCTTCCCCAACACCCAGACGCATTGCATGGTCTCTATAGTTTCATCAGAAAGACTACCTTCAGCTGGAAGGTGATGGCACACGCCTTTAATCCCAGCACTTGGAAGGCAGAGACAGGTGGACCTCAGTGAGTTCGAGGCCAGCCTAGTTTACAAAGCAAGTTCCAGAAGAGCCAAGATCGGAGAGACCCTGTCCCGGGGGCTCTTCCTTACAAGGACATCAAAATGATCTTCCTAACAAGGACAACCAAGTCTCTCATTCAAAGGAATACCAGCACAGGCCTCCCGTTTCGCTACCACCCAGCCTTCCATTAGCTTCCCACCAGCCCTGAACCTCTTTTTACATCTCCTTACAGGTCCTTGAATTCATCTACCCTGATGGAGGAGGGTTATTTTCATTGGTCAATAAAGAGACTGCCTTGGCCCTTTGATAGGACAGAAAATTAGGTAGGTGGAGTAAACAGAATAGAATGCTGGGAAGAGGGCAATGGGGCAGACGCCATGGAGCCAGCCACCAGGTCAGACACGCTGAATCTTTCCTGGTAAGCCACCACCTCGTGGTGCTACACAGATTATTAGAAATGGGTTAATCAAGATGTGAGAGTTAGCCAGTAACTAACTCTCTAGAGATAATGGGCCAGGCAGTATTTAAATGAATACAACTTATGTGTTATTATTTCTGGGGCTAAGCTAGCCATGCGGGAGCTGGGCAGGATGAAAAGCAGGCCTGCCTGCAGTTCCCCACTACACTACCCTGCCCTCTGTCCAGTCACCCTTTAATCCACTTAGCCCTTCCCTTCCTCCACTCGGCCCTCCCATGTTTCTCCGCCCATCACTCTTAGAAGGCTGAAGCCAGCCTCCCAACTGCCCATCATTATCAGCCCCACTCTATCCACCCACCTATACCTGCATCTATCCATCCATCCCACCCATACCCCTCCAACGAGACAATACTGACTGAGTACCGGCTTTGTTCCTAGAGAAAGGGAAATGAATGTTTTGACCGGGTGAGAGATTTATTCTCGCATCCAACCCACAGGAACACACATTTTTGCAAATGTGGAGCTCCATCAGGCAAATTCAGCTGTCACAATTTCCCAGGAAATTATAGGTGTAGGAAAAGACCATCTGGCCAGCCATGGAGACGGAGTACGCCTTGCTGGATGGTGGGTGTGGGCCCTCTGCATTTCCTTTGAAAAGGCAAAATGTAGACTATCGCTGTTAGTTGCTTCAATTTCAAAATTAAGCCAAACGCCACAGTCTAGAGACTAACTGACCCCTACACCAGATCTCTGAAATCTTGCTGTGACACAGCCGAAGCTTGGGCACCTGCCAGTGACTATGCAAAACATAAAGACATAAATCCCTTCCCTCCCCCACCTCAACCTCCCCCCCCCAGGCCTGTCTTGAAGCTGTCGCAGCATCTGGGAAGACCCTGTGTTCAGGTCAGGTGAGCACAGCCTTCAGAGAGTCCAGAGTCCAGGACATAGGCCAGCTGTCCATACCAGACTGAGAGGCAGCACTGGGGGAGGGGGCTCTGCTTTTCCAAGAGCCCTCATGACAGAGCCACAAACCACTTGGATGCTAGATAAATGGAGATGGCCGGGCCGGAGAAAGTCAAGCTCCATTTGGCTACATGTGAATAATGGACTCGGGGACGGGGGCGGGGGGAGTGGGACCAGGGGACGCTGGAGTCCCCGCGGGCACTAAGTATATTCCCAGACAGGCTCAGATGACCACAGGCTGACTGCTAGGAGTGTTGGATCTTGGTGAAAAGAAGTTGCTACCCACAGTGTGAGGCACACAGCCAGGGAAAGTCTGACTGTGCTTCACCACACCCGCCTCAGAGTCTGAAGTCCTCCTTCAGCCTCAGAGGAGACACTTGTCTCCTGGGCCCTTCCACCTCACCTCCGGTCAGGCTACCTTGAAGTCAGCACGGCTAAGAGAATGTACCAAACACACCTGTTCCAACACCTCCCTAATAGGACACAACACATACATTCCCAGCCTGAAGCAAGAGAACTTGTATGTCTTGACTGTAACCCCCAGCCGCCACCTACCCTGGGCTCTAGCTACTTTTTAACCTGCTTTGGATACACCTATCAGGGACACTTTGTGTCACTGGAACCACACACTCATGGCCTATTCACCTTGAATATG